AAACCCACATACCTCAGAGTAAGAACTATTATTACACATTACATTGGTTCTGGGCTGCAATTCATTGTTGAAGAGTTCTCTGGCTGAAAATGATGGTACATACCTTCGTTGGTGGTCAGATATTACTTCAACTCAAATGGATGTGCTCCTCTTTCTTCTACACCTATCTTTCTTACCAATGTACATTTTTATTTAAAATGCCAATGTTTATAAAGAAGTGTTAGCAAGACTGGCCCTGTGCTAACATCTGTTGCCAATCTTCCTCTTTTTCTTTTTTCTCCCCAAAGCCCCAGTATGTAGTTGTATATCATAGTTATAGAGTTGTAGCTCTTCTATGTGGGACACCACTTCAGCATGGCTTGATGAGTGGTGAGTATGTCCGCACCCAGGATCCGAACCTGCAAACTCTGGGCCACCAAAGCAGAACACGTGAACTTAACCGCTACACCACTGGGCCAGCCCCAGAAGTCTTATTTCTATGTCTTATATATCTGTTGCTTTAATGTGTCCAGTTTAAATATTAAGCTTCCAGGTGCAGTGATATCTTATTTATAGAGTTCAGAACAGTGCAATGTCTAGTAAATGGTTTATGATGATATTTCATATCATATTCCTGAGTCTTCATATGATGTGTACAGCCAAAAGAACTGATAACAGAAATTAGCTGATCTAAGGGCATATAAGTTTCCCAGAAATTATTTTTCATGGATGTGACATATTTTAAATCTAGGAAAAGAGACCAGGTATTTGTGATGTTTTGATACTGATGTTCCCATTCAACTTTACAATCCTGCCTCTTTTTTTTTTCTTTTTTGTGAGGAAGATCAGCCCTGAGCTAACATCCATGCCAATCTTCCTCTTTTTGCTGAGGAAGACTGGCCCTTGGCTAACATCTGTGCCCATCTTCCTCCACTTTATATGGGACGCTGCCACAGCATGGCCTGACAAGCAGTGCATCCGTGTGCGCCCAGGATCCGAACCTAGGCCGCCACCAGCGGAGTGTGCGCACTTAACCGCTACGCCATGGGGCCGGCCCCCATCCTGGCTTTTAATTCAAAGCTGGCAGTCTTGCTCAGTAATGCTGCATTTACAACTCTGTATTTTCTGTTTCTGAAATAGTTATGTGTGTGGAAAGTTTAAGTAGTAGGATTATTTAAAAATAATACTCAAAAACTCCCAGTGAAAACTTTCCCTTTGGGGCCATTTTGTAACTAATTTTTGTTAACTAAGGAACTCATTTGTTCTCTCCTCTCGTTGCTTGCTCTTAATTCATTTCTTTCTAAGCACATATTGAACATCTTTGAAACAGTTGTGTTTCAAATCAACTGTCAAAGATGAGAGTTGTGGGAGTTGGAGATACGCCTTGCCAGCTTTGAAGAAGTAAGCTGCCTTCTTATGAGAGGGCCTTTGGAGAAGCCCCCATGGCTAGGCCCTGAGAGCTGCCCTCTGCTGACAGCCAGCAAGAAAACAAGGAGCTTAATCCTACAGCCACAAGATGATAAATTCTGCCAACAACCAGAAGGAACTTGGAAGGCACTAATCAGTTCGTAGTAGAGAGGAGGGCACACCTGTTATCAGTACAGGGACTTCTCTTTTGTAGTTACAGTCCCTGGAGTTGTGGAGTCTAGCTAGAGGTTTATCAGTTTAACCCCAAAGTTTTGGCACAAGTCATTAATGCTCATTCTTATGCCCGTTCTATTCAACGTTGTACTGGAGGTACAAGACGGTGCCATCAGAACAGAAGAGGAAATAAAAGATATTCAGCTGTGAAGGAAGAAGTAAACCTTCTTTGCAGGTGACATGACCATGTTTGTAGAACATCCCAAGGAATCGACGTCTCTCCCCCGAAAAAACCAACAAAATTAGAATAAGCGAGATTAGCATTTTGCAAAGGTCAAAGTCAGTACGCAAAAATCAATAGTATTTCTATATACTAATATTAAAAATGGGAAATTAAAATTTAAAAAGCAATATCATTTGCAATAGCATTAAAATCATGAAATTATTAGAGGTAAATTTAACAATATACATGAGAAACCAGTTCAGTGAAAAGTACAAAACATCACTGAGAGAAATTAAAGAAGATGAAATCAATGGAGAGACATACCATGCTCATGGATCAAAAGACTAAAGATTATTAAAGCTCAAGTCTTCCCAAATTGACCTAAAGATTCATTGCATTCCCTTGCAAAATCCCAGCAGGATTGTATAAAATTTGACAAACTGATTTTAAAATTTGTAAGGAAAGGCAAACAACTTTGAAAAAGAAAAAAACAAGTTGGAAGACTTACACTGCCTGATTTTAAGACTTCAGTATAAATTTACAGTAACGGGCAGTGTGGTATTGGTGTAAGGTGAGACATATAGAGCAATGGTATGTACAGAAGAGAAAGCACACAGTCCCCACAATTGTTTTGGTCACTTGGTTTCCACAAAGGTACCCAGATAATTCACTGGAAGAGGAAAGTCTTTTCTCAGCTTTAGTGGGCATTTTACACCAAAAACTACCTGAATCTTCTCCCTCTAGTCCAGTGTATCAGAGAAAAACCAAAATTTTATAGGTTCTTCTTACTAGAGAAGAGAAGGAAACAAAAGAAGGCTGCTGATTTTCTGCAGTCCTGATGAATTGATGTGGATACAGAGTAACAGGAGATCACAGTGTTACCTCATCCAGAAGAGCAATAATGAAGAAACCTACAGCAGAGAAAATTTGGCTCTACTAGTTAAGAAAAAGAGTCCAGAAAACCCCATAATTTCAATAAATTATTCATATTTTTATGTTTCCCAAATCTAATATATGGTTTTAAATGAAGGATAACATTTATTGTGGTTTTTTTTTTTTTTTTGGTGAGGAAGATTAGCCCTGAGCTAACATCTGTTGCCAATCCTCCTCTTTTTTTGCTGAGGAAGATTGGCCCTAGGCTAACATCCATGCCCATCTTCTTCTACTTTATACATGGGACTCCTGCCACAGCATGGCTCAATAAGCGGTGCGTAGGCCTGCGCCTGGGATCCGAACCTGCAAACCCTGGGCCGCTGAAGCGGAGCACGTGAACTTAACCACTACACCACTGGGCCAGCCCAACATTTATTGTTCTTAATATATGCCAAGGCACTGTGCTAAGGAGCTTTACATAAGATTATATATCTATTAATCCTCACAATAATCCTATGAGGCACAGAACTCTCATCCTCATTTTATAGACAACGAAACTGAAGCTTAGAGAATTATGTAACTTTCTCAAAGTCACATAGTAAGTTGTGAAGCCAATATTTGAACCCTGCCTGACTGCAGAATGTGTTCTCTGCTACACCTGTTACAGATAAGAGCTAAAAGACTTTAGTGGGGCACCCCAAAGTTAGCCAATGTAATTGGAGAGGACCTCATGGTAGATGAGACTTGAATAAGCCCTGAAGTATAGATATGATTTATGTAAGCAGAGGAGAGAAGAACAGAGTTAAAGAGTAAGAGCAGGGAAATAGAATAAATGATATCTTAAGATAGAAGCATGATATATTCAGGAAATTGTAAGGATATAACAAACTTGGGATTAGCGGAAGATAAATTGAAAAGGGCAGATGGTGTTCAATGCCAATTTTTAGAGTTGGTACTTTATTCTGTAGGTGTGAGAGAGCAAATGACAGTTTTGAACAGGGGATAAGATTCATAACATTGGTATTTGATAATATTTAATTTGTGGGCATTGTGTAGAATGCATTCAGGGAGAGGGTGGTTTAGGAGTTAAGGTGGTCTAGGCAAGAATGAAGAAAAATTGAATAAAATAGGGTGGGTTGCAGTGGATATGTGAAATATTTTGAAGTGGGCTTTGTTGACTAACTAAATAATGGGGAATGAAAGAAAAGAAGCCACTATTATTTGGACTTTAAGACTTAACTAGCAATAGGGTATTGTTTGGGAAAGTGAGCCTTTGAGGAGGAAGATATAATAAAGGTTGATTTTAGTTCTGTTTAGTTTGAAACTATAATGAAAAATTCAAGAAGTGTTATTGTGTAGGGAGGTGGAGATAAGGGATTAGAGTCTAAGAGTCTGGGGATAGAGATTAAGATTTACATGTGCTCAGCATAAGCAAACTGAAACATAAGCCAGTACCAGCTCACCAAGAGAAAAAAGCATATATACAGAGAAGAGGAGAGTGTTGCTCAGTGTCTACAGTTACAGTGTTAGAGGAGGGAGATAAGCCAGCAAAGGAAAGAAGCAGGAATCATCAAGAGTTGGAAGATATTTCCTTCTGTGTGCTCATCTTCCTCCTCTTCTCTATATATGTCAACCTTCACTCTACCTCGCCAAGATACTTTGAGCGTATTTTCTTACCTTGTTCATACCTCATTACTGCCTCTAAAGCAGCATGTCTCTATTTCCTATGTACCGAACTCTCTTGCTATATAATTATTTTTGTATGATTTTTCAAAATTGTGACTAGTTCTAAATTGATAGTAAGATATTTTCAAGGCCCTGAGTCCCAAGCTCCATCTAATTTAAATAGCTTGTCAGAAGAATAAATCTTCTAGTGCCTCTGATTGGATTTTAAGCTACTCAACTGGAACTAGCCTCTAAAAATATAGAAATACTAACAAGTTTATATTGAAGTGTGAGTTCTGAATATTTTCTAATTGAATAACATAGAATTCTTGGGGATATACAAGGGGAAGTTGGAGGAAGAATGTTCAAGAGAACTGAAGAGAGAAAACAGATGTGCTTTTAAATCACTGCTCATGGAAGATAATATTAATACAAAATATTTGTTGCATATTAGAACCATAAGGTTCAGCCTGTGCTGAAGCCAAGGCTGCTGGAATTGGTATGAAGGAGAAATTGATCTCTCTTGTGAGTACTGGATAGTCTTGCAAAATGGCTGCCATTTTTTGTGACAAACTACATGTCTAAAGTACCTGAAATCTAAGCATTTTTGTATTAGATAACACAAATAAAATCCTGATTTAAAAAAAAATGTCTGAATGTGACCTCTCAACTTTTTCAGAGGAGATGCGAAAACAAGGCTTACTTCAATGGCTTGATTCTCTTCAAATGGATAACCCCACCTCTCCAGAGCTGCAGCTCACCATGGGAGCAGTGATTGTGGAGGAAATGAGAGCAGCCATAGAGAGGAAGACTGGCTTTCAGTGTTCAGCTGGAATTTCACACAATAAGGTGAAGGCTAATAGATTTCAAAGAGAAACACAGATATTTGTAGTTAAATACAGCAATCATAGATATGAGTGGGGCATTTAAGTCATTACACATATACTTTGAAATGGGTTTCTATTTAAAATTCATGTTGAGGACCAAATAAAAGCCTAAGTAATTCTTTAATGAACCAGCCTTGGTGGTCTAGTGGTTAAGATTTGGCACTCTCACCTCCGCGGCGTGGATTCCTTTCCTGGTCAGGGAACCACACCACCCATCTGTCAGTTGTCATACTGTGGCAGCTGAGTGTTGCTGTGATCTGAAAGCTATGCCACCAGTATTTCAAATACCAGCAGGGTCACCCATGGTGGATGGGTTCAGTGAAGAAAGACTAGGAAGAAAGACCTGGCTACCCACTTCTGAAAAAATTGGCCATGAAAGCCCTATGAATAGCAGTGGAGCATTGTCTGATACAGCCCCTGAAAGGGTAAGAGGATGGTGCAAAAAGACGGGGCAGGGTTCTGCTCTGCTGTATACAGGGCTGCTAGGAGTCAGAATTGGCACTAACAACAAAAATTCTTTAATGTGGGAATCAACATTGAACATGTACTTTCCTAAGAAGCAGGCTGAAAATTTGCAGAACATATTTATATAGTTGCATCCCAAGTATTTCCTTAGTGATTGAACTCTCTACAGGAAGGAGGAGGCTAGTCTTTGAATTTTATGTATGAATCTATTTCTTTTCCTTTCACTTGCTGGATATTCTAGTATTATCCCATTTCTTATGTGGAGTTGCCTGAGTGTTTTATGCTTTTGCCCATTCCCACTTTTCTAATGAGAGCAATAAGAGAATGGAGCAGTAAAATTTTATTAATTTGGATCACTTTTTTCACTTAGGGAATACAGACAATTCTCAATAATCCAGGGGCAGAATAACTGGTTTTCTGATTCAAGTGCAGTGAGGGCCTGGGATCTTCATCCCCTTCAGTCCAGGCTCAATCATTGGGCGGTGGCTCATTATCCTTGGTTACTACCTTCTCCCCCTTCCTCCAGTAGGAGGAAAGTTGCCAAACTACCTGGCAGAGCTTTGTGGGTTTTTTTCTGGTTGGGTGGAGGGAGGGGAAACCAAAGTCCCCATGTAGTAATTTAAACCAGACTAAATGTTGCCCAGTAGAATTTCCAGAGAATCTCTCCAATGAAGTTAAAGATTGATTTTATACTTTTCCTACCAATTATAATTTGTGAAATGATACCACTAAAGTACCTTATTCTTTGACAAGAGTTCTCCAGGATTTAATTTTTTTCAATTTGAAGTCTTGTTTATAGTATAAGAAGATTTTTGCTATTGGAGAATGATTTTGAGCCTAATTTCTATTGAACCAGATACTAAATTATGGTAATCTATATTAAATCTGAGACTCAAAATGGACTAACCATTAATCAAGAAGTGTAAATAAATGGTGTAGGGTAAAACAAACTTGTTTTACCATCTTAAGTTTCTTCTGCAGCTTCTCTTCATTTACCCTCTTGAAGTGGGAGAACCTCAAGGAATAGATGGGGGCGGAAAAAACTACTAAAGGAAAACCGAGAATGGAAGATGTGAAAAGAACAATGAGGATAATGATAGTGGGTCATGTTTTCCACTGAGGATGTTGTGGCACACCACGGTTTAGAGATGTCTTGAGTTTCTGGTTTTGTTTTTGTTTTTAATGTGGAAACCATTAGTTACAGCCCTTAAGCTGTGCCTGTATGTGTGTGTTCATATTCACCAACTCTGTGTGTGGGTGGCGTTGACAATAATCAGGTTTTATACTTTCCATGTTCCAGGTCCTGGCAAAACTAGGCTGTGGACTAAACAAGCCCAACCACCAGACCCTGATCCCACATGGGTCAGTCCCACAGCTCTTCAGCCAAATGCCTATTAGCAAAGTGTAAGTATTCAGGGAGCACCTTAAATTTCACTCACACACTTGTGAAGGCACTCTCTGTAGTTTCTTCTGTTCCTTATAAAGATTGGAGCCAGGGAAAATGGGTACCAGGGAGGTAGGAGGGAAATAACACAGAAAGTTTTGAAAAACACACTTAGACTTTTTTCTTAATGAACCTTCAATTCTGGATTACCTGTGGAAGACACTTAATCCTAAATTTTAAAAAATGAACTGATTTTTAGCTATAAGTTTAACTTCTCTCTAGGCTTTTTATTCAAGTCTATTACTAAATAACAAAATAAATAGGAATTTTCCTTCTTTTCTTTCTTCTAATATCACATCAAGGTGTTCAGGGCTACTGAATTGCTCCAAACCAGGCATGAGAAAAGAAGCCAAATAAAATGAATAACTAGGTTGTGCCTACCAACTGTGTGTCCTTGACAAAGGCTTATAATATTGTTGAAGGGACAAAATATAACAGTTCAAAGCAACAAAGTGCTATCACAAGACTGTACACGAGTAATTGCTGCTAAATGAATTGTATAGATAGTGACCAAACTCACAGAGGAGAAGAGTAATCTGAGAAGGATTTATGAAAAAGGCATGGGATTTTGTTTTGAGATTTGGCAAAATTTGGAGAGTCAGATGAGAATAGAAGAGCAATATTGATTAGGAGAATGTTTTGAACACAAAGGGGGAAAGTATAAGATATTTTCAGTGAACTGGGACATAAACTAGTTTAGCTGGACCATATTGAGAAAGTGATAAGTGATCTTATAGGACTGAAAAGATAAGTTGAGGACAGATTATAGGAAGCCTAAAAGGCCAAGCTGAATAATTTTGACTACATTCTTAAATATAAAAGGTTTTAGCCATGAAAGGGATTTGTTTTGGGATTGGAATTTTAATCCCTAAATGGGACAGTAGATCCTATATAATTGAAAGTTTTATATACAGTTGACTTGATAACTAATGACTTTAACCTTTTGTTTATGCTATTGTTAATCTTCTTCCCATGTCTTAACTCCCAGAGTATCAGAATTCTCAGAATCATCTAGTCTTAAGCTAGAAAATTAATGGTCTACAGGACCAATATGTGCTCTCTCTTTTTTGTGTGTGTGAGGAAGATCAGCCCTGAGCTAACATCCATGCCAATCCTCCTCTTTTTGCTGAGGAAGACTGGCCCTGAGCTAACATCTATTGCCA